AAAAAAAAAAAAAAAAAAGCTTCCCAGAGGTTCTGGCACATTCTGTCTTTAGAATGTTGCCAGAGACCTGGAGGAGGAGATGTGGTGAAACCCTGGGGGTAAGGAGAGATTCCCTTCTACTGGGAAAGGAAGAAAGGATGAGGATTCTTGCAAAACTTCCCCTCCCATCACAACCAGATCGCAGCAAAGCTACTGGTCCCCAGGGGTGATAGCAGTGTGGCCTGTGTGTGTGCCTAGTCCACGTTCTCCAATAGAAAGTCTCTGCATGCATGGGTCCTTCCTACAGTTTATCCCACACTGTCTCCAATGGCTAGGGAGAAGCCTCAGCCCAGAGACCTAGCCAGGAAAGTTTTTCCTGTAACCAATCAGCAGCATTGCTGGAGGACTTAAAGCTCTCCTGAGGGCACAGAGTCTGTATCAATTAGGGGCGTCAAGCAAGAATCCCAGGCCAGGGCTTCCCAAATTTATTGCTCTACCCCACAAACCTAGTAAGTACAGGTAACCAGGGACACTTCAGTTGGACTGACACTTAATTCAGACTTGTGATTTAAATTTACTTTTAAAAAAAAAAGGAACTAAGAACCTAATGCCACAGAACACTTGGTGTACCTGGTGCGTAGAGCTGAGACTACACTTGTCCCATGGCACCTGGCTGTGCCACTCCTCCTCCCTGTGTGAGGGAGCCCGGAGCCTGAGTGAGTCATCTCCCTGCCAGCTGGGCCTGAGGCCCTTCATCTGTGAGTTCTGAACCTCGAGGCACTTGAACCATGCCCCCAAGGCCACGTGTGAGGGGACTCATCCCTGTCCCTCCCTGCCAGCTTCCTGTCTTCCCTGCCAGTATCTCTTAAAATAAATGCCTGAGTCTGAGGGAACCAGAGGGGAAGACAGTCCCAGGGGAGATAGAGGCCCCAGAATTTCAGCTCCCCAAGGGTTGGATATTCCTTCCCAGGCAAATGTGGCTTTGGCCTCTCCCAGGCTCCTCTGATCAAAGCAGAGTTTGTAGTATACCTGGCTGCTCACGACAGGTTCAGGTAAGCCCCCTTTCTCCATCTGTCACCCAGCTCAAATGGAGCCCCAACTTCCTGAAGGTTCTTTTTGGTCCCCAAGTTTCTCCTAGGAGAGGAGTTAATACCTCCAAGTATGTAGAATCATTAGTTTTGAATTGGGAGATTGTTTTGATGATGCATACAGCTTACTTAACTATTTTTCTATGCTTTCCCAGCTTTCTTTGAATTTGTGTCATTTTTACATTTGCAAAAGGAAGCTACATATCTTTGCATCATCCTGGTGGCATGGAGAAGCCCTTGTTAAGATGCCCGATAGAGTGCAGTGAACGTGGGTGACCACAGAATCAAACCTTGTTGGGGAATCTGGGCTTTGAGTCAGTCAAAATATTACAAAACACTGCTGTTTTTGCTATGCAAACCTCCCTGCTCTGACTTCAGTAGAGTGCTAGTAGCACCCAAATGAGGATTTTGTTCACTAAAACTCTCCCAGAATAGAAACTGCCCACAGCATTTTTCTTGTGCAGAACATTTGTCTGGCTGCATTCCCGGCTGATATTTTTTAGCTAATGCACTCCATCATGCAAAGCAGAACACAAAAAGCTGTGATGTCTTTGCCATTGTGTTTTGTTCCCCAAACTCTCCCAACCTAGGTGAGGACATATTTCCCAGTCAAAGGCACTGGACACTTGTACTCTCAGTGAGAATTCCTGGAATGCCAACAACTCCTGTGCAGCCCTGGGTGGTTTGGCATTTTGAAGTTACTGCAGGAGCAAGTGGTCCAAATCCTTTTCTTATCCTTTTCTCTTGCACTCGTGGCCTCCAGCAAAAGGAAAATCATGACAATATTCTTTCGATGAGGGTAGGATTTCCAAGACTTCAGCCTCTCAAGAGAGGAGCAGCTATTCACAGATGAAAAGCAGCCCCAGAGGAAGCAGCTGCCCCCACCCCCTGTAAATCCAGGTTCTGGGGGTTTGGATCTTAAAATACACACCTGTTGCAGGGAAGCAATTGCAGCAGGACCTGCAGCTGTGGGCTGCTGTTTGAAACCAGCTTGTGTCAACAAACACAGTGGGTCTTGTCAGTGGGACACAGGACAAGAGGATGATAAGTGCATTTTATTACAGCTCCTGCTGCCCTGGCAGAAAAAGCTCTGCATAATTTAATAGGAATACTGCAGATCATGATAGAAAAACATTCATTTGACTGAGTCGGCCAGATTCTTGGAAGGCTCGCTACCAGGTTTCTATGGTTACCATGTTTTGTGTAAGTGTAGAACAAGCTCTAATTCACAGCCCTCATCAGAGACTGCAAACCCACCCTCCACCTCTGCACTTCCTCTGGCACCAGAGGCTGCCATGCTAGGAATGTGCCCTGGAATGGAATCTGAGCAGAGGCCCTCTGCATCCATTCTTCGCCCTCCCAGAGAGGAAATGTGCAAAGAGCCAGGAAAGCAGGGACCCAGGGTTGGGGGTCTGGAGGGGAGGACAAGCGAGTCAGTACTGGCCCTGAGTCAGTGGTAATGCCCGGATGTTCAGTTTGCTGTGAGTCACGGGCACTGCATTTAAACTTTCCTCCACGGTTGGCATTTTTGAAGATTGTTTTCCTGATGGAAAACATTTATTAAAGAATTTCTCCTATAAAGGAATTTCTGAGCTTCTTTTGTTCATTTTGGAAACAAATGTAGGACAATATCGTCACAGCGATCCCGTCAAAAACCAGAGCAGGTATTATCAGCGCTGCTGCTTCAACACAGATGCAGAAAGTCACAGGCAGGGGCATTTTCCTTTAGATAGAGCCAAATGATAGGGCTTTGTGGTGGGGCTCTGTGGAAATGATCTCAGTGACTGTGACCCCTGCTCACAGCTAATCCTGACCTTCCACCGTATGCCCGCTGCTGGGGCTCTGACTTTGCCAGAGACGTGCAAGGCAGTACAAGTGACGAGGTACCTCGACATCTTTTATGGTCCTCTTATTATTGTTGCTATCAGTTGATGAATATTGACACTGTAAGGCTCCTGTCTTTTAATCAAGTTCTTCCTTCTCCCTGTGAAATTTTTGCTCCATATAGAAAGATGAAATATTTGTGTTTTTATGTCTCTATCTTACTTTACTTTGGCAAAGTCGTGACTCAGAGCGAAACTGGCAGAACACCCAGTGCATAAAGCAATCCAGGGCCTGTCTGACATAACTGATGGGTGGCCCCAGGCCTGATAATAACAGTAGCTGCATGAGCAGAAGTATTATGAGACGAAGGGGCGCTTGGGACAATGCTGGCACAGAGAAGGTCAGTCTTCATGTGTACCAGGCAGAGGTCAAGCTTACGTCTCTCCCTGCTTGTGAGCAAGAGTGTTCCAGGAAGCCAGTCTGTTATTTTGGCAAGTGACTGTTTATCGTGATGCGTGTGGGGGTCAGGTCTCCCTTTGCAGGGAGTTCTGTGAGTTCCTGATATGTACATAAATAGGCCTTCAAATAATGACTAATCATTGTAC